GTGGCAAGATTGCGCACATGGTGGCCCCGGACCCCATCGACGACGTCTCTACCCACCCGATGGTTAGTGCTGCGCGCACAACGCCGTCGGCGCTGAGCAGCTACCTCCGGCGCGTTCGTCGAACCTGCGGGCTTGCGCCGCCTGTCCAGAGTGACGTGTGGCTGCGCCTTCTGTTCAACATGCTTCCCGTCAACTCGCGCTTTGCCTACCTCCAGCGCCAGCGCCCGGACGCCATTTGCTGCGCGTACGGCTGCGGCGCCGCCGAATCGCAACAGCACGCGTTCTACGACTGCGAGGTCGTCCACCAAGTGTGGGCGCTCCATGCCGGTGCCTGGCGGCGCTTTGGCGTGACGTTCTCGTGGAACACGATTTCGGACATTGATGCCTTCTCGGTCAACGGTCGTGGCGAACCGCACAAGGCGGCGCTGCGCGTGCTCTGGTCGCTGCTCACGGCGTCACTGCTCCACCTCATCTGGAAACAGCACAACGGTGTGCAGTACGAACACAAGCGCGCGATTCCGGCCGCCGCGTGGCACGACCTGTCGTTTGTCGGGTGGATGGCTTCCGTGCGCCACTGGCTGCGCCTTCAAGATGCCGACTGCCCGGCGCGCGCCGCCGTCCTGGACGTTGTGCGCATGCTCCACGGCCAGCCTGCGTACCAGCCTCTTGTCGCCAAGTACCCGCTCCTTCTGCGCCTCGGCCCGTCGCTGCGCCCGGCCTAGTCCCGTGCTGCAGCGTGCGCTCCTCCACTTCTGCGCCAACTATTTATGCACCCGTCGGCACCCCGCGTCCCGTTGGCCGCGCTCCCGACCCCGTGCCCTATTTATCCCTATCTATCACTGAACCTCAACAAGTGCCACCTATCGCACGGAAGCTTCCGCTTTCTGGCATAGGAACAGGGTGAGTCTGCTTGCAGACAATATTAGTATTGCTAGCTATTATATACGCAGTAATGCACTCCCGATTGACACTAATCCAATAGCGCCTCTCCTTGTTTGAAATTTGTAGGCATACATAGAAAAACGCTTGTAAATACGTTTTTGCTCGTCAAT